ATGCACAAGCTCTCGGTTGGCTCCTCATCCATCCCCAGGCAGAGCTCCATGCACTCCAGCTGGTCATTGACATAGAGGGTGACACCCCCTCCTCGTGTCCCCTGCCTGTCTTTCCTAAAGAGCCTGTATCCCTCCATCCCAACACTCCAATCATAGGAGCCATCCCACCACGTCTCCGTGATGCCAATAAGGTCGTAAAATAAGCAGCACAGTAGGAGCGCTGTGTGTAGTTGGAAGGCTTTATGGGGAGATTGCTAATGAGAAGTATTGATCTATGACCCAAACCTGAAAACCAATTAAAAGAGATTGAATGTCTGCATCCCTAAACATATCTAATCTGTTTTCATTTTTTTTCCTAAGCTGTTTTAAGTTCCATTTATTTCCTTGTTAGTTGAGTACACTGTTGCAAGCAAAGGGAAGTAGTTATGTCTTTTGCCTAACTGACACACAGAACTTGAGGCTTGTTCTCCCTAAAAGTCTGTAAAAACACCATCAGGTTGGAACCAAAGACTTGGATCTTTATTCTGTTAAACAATATTTTGTGTCACTTATCAATAATCCTGCTTTTTCTCTCCTGCTGTTTTTTAGTACATGAGCTACAACCTGCTGACATCAAAGTTATAGGAGCACTGGGAGATTCCCTGACTGTGAGTACTGCTGTGTTCCCACATTTAGAATGAGAAGAGCAATTGTTGATTTCTACCTAGATGTGGTTGTGTCAGGCATTATCAGATAGAAATCAAATTGCTTTGGCTTGGCAAAGCAAAACTCATCTACCTGTGTCCCTTTGCAAAGAAATAGCCTGAAGGGATATGAGTGACACTGGCAATTGTGTAATCCAGTAATGAATAATTCAGGCCAGAACAGAGATGGGATCACGTTCTCTATTGCATGTAGTTTATTCGAGTGTTTTTGAAAAGGGAAATGTCTGCCTTATAGGAATAGTCTTTTCCGACATAAAAACAAGAGCAAGCAATTGGCGTTTTTCATGCAATGAGAAATCTTGATGAAAATTCCTATGGAAATAATTGATTGCAGAACAAAGTGCTTCTCACTTAAGATAATTCTGATACTTCTGTATTTGAGAATTTTGCTTTCAGATGTTGTTTCCTGGTTTAGGCATCTTCCAGTTAAAACTCTGATGTATTTCATGTACCAAGAAATGCAAACGGAAAAGAAAAGAGTAGGCACAGAAAAGAAAGGCTCCAGAAAAGAATAGCAGGGAATACTGCAGATCTGCACTGAAGTTTTCTGAGAAAAAGTTCCAGAATTACACAGCACTACAGAATTGTTCTGGCATGGGATGAAAGCAAACATTTGTGTCAACAGTTCCCATGAATTTTAACTCCTGAGCTAGACCAGTGCTCATTCTAGCAGCTTCAGCTCCCATAGAGATCAGAGGGAGTTGAAGGGACTGAAGCCCCTATAGATCAGGCTTATCTATAGGCAGGTGTGCATGTCTTCACCTCCTCATTAGCTCTGAAACAGATTTTGCTTGACCTGATGTAATCCTGGCTTTTTCCCCCCACTGAGCTTTGAGCTTTTCTTAGAAGACCTCAGTAATGACCCTGCAAGTCTCCCTCTTATCCATTGCCATAACTCTTAAAATTAATTGCTTGATTTCCTCCCCCACATCTAGTGCTAGACATGTGCACTAGCGCACATCTCTTCTTTTTTAAATTTTAATTCTTTTAGTACATAAAATGTCTCAGAGAGCCCTAGTCATAAGGGCCAGACTCTGATGCTTGAGGTTCCTGTCTCAAGAGCTGAGCAAGACAGTTTTCATACTACCATTACTCATGCAGTTTGTATTAGTTGCCATTGCCACAGCAAGATATGACTGGGTTTTTTATTAAGGGGTTTATTGCTGGTGGGGGGAAAAAAATGACAGTTTCTTTTGCGTGCATACGCACAAACCCTCATAAGCACGCGTGCACACACACGAAGTGCAGTACAGCCAGCAGCAGTGCATACTTTGTACTGCCTAACCATCCCTGGCACAGAGGGACTGCAGCAGCAAGATCTGCCTTGGTCCACTAAGGCATTGATTTTCCTCCTGGTATTTCCCACAAGAGCCCTGAATGCAGTCAGTGTTTATGGCTGAATTGATACCATGTCTTTTTGAAGAATACAAGATTAAGTGAAACCACTAAGAAACTATAAAGCTGCGGAAGAGCCCATTTTCATGATTGCTGTCCTGAATGCGAGTCAGGGTGCTGACCTTGCTAGAGGTCTGTCCCAGTCCTGTGAGCTACTCAAAATCATCACAAACCTCTTTGTTCTGATGGCTTTATTTATTTATTTTTAAAAGATACAAAAGTTCACATTGCAGGAAGGCTGTTCTCAGTCTAGATGCAGTTGGAGATTAATGAAACATTGGGCAATTTAGTCATGTCACTGGCTAGAATGCGTCTGTCTGACTTCTTAGCACCAATGCATGGTGAAAGCAATAGATATGCCAACATGCTTATCTGTATTGGCAAAAAAAATCCTGCCTACACCTCATCAAGTCTGCGTGTTAGACTAGCAGTCTGGGTCCAGCAGAGGAAAAGTGGATTTTACACCAAAGATTTGTTTTCTTGGCAGATTAAAAAGCAGCTCCTCTACTGATTTATTTACAGCTAAGACTGGCTGGGAATTTTTCACCAGTGGGTTTTGTTTTTTTTTCTGGATTAAGTCTCTCAAAATCAGCTTTCTTCAGGAAATGTCAGGATGAAGCATTTTCCATCAGAAAAATCCAAAAAAATACAAAGCTGTTGACGTTAATCTGGGTCCGTAATGATGTCTCATTGGGTTGCTTGCTAAAAGAATATTAGTAGTAGTTCTAAAGCCTTATGTCCTTGACCTTACAGTCTGAAGCCCTCTGGCTGGAATATATCTCCTCTGATGTTCCGTGGTCTACTATCTAGATGAGCTGCTTTTGTATATGAGGAGAAGGCTGTGAATTTGAAGCATGGGAGATGCAGGGCTGCCCAGAGGCCAGTGTGTGGTGGTGAATAAGAATCATAGAATCATTAAGGTTGGAAAAGACCTCTAAGATCATCGAGTCCAACCGTCAACCCAACACCACCATGTCCACTAAACCGTGTCCCTAAGTGCCGCATCTACACGTCTTTTAAATACTTCCAGGGATGGGGACTCCACCACTTCCCTGGGCAGCCTGTTCCAATGTTTAACCACTCTTTCAGTGAAGAAATTTTTCCTCATGTCCAAAACGGACATGGACCATTTATGCTAAAACTGGGATATTGCAAAAGCTTGGCTGGATGCAGAGTAAAGTTACCACAATGCTTCAGCACTTTCAAATCATGATGTCTGTCTTACCTAAACTTGTAGCACTTTCTTCTAGTATTTTATAAATGATTCTTTCCATCCTTTCCAGACTGCAGTAGGAGCCAAAGCAACTGACCTACAAACAGACTGGAGGGGACTTTCCTGGAGGTGAAAATGCTCAATTTTCTCTTTCTCTATTTTTGTCCACAGACACAGTTAAAAGTGTGGGTCACCTGGTTGTGTAGTTACATACTTAAGTATGTAAGTACAGGGGTAAGATGCTGAGAGCAGGTATTGCTGGGTAAGGATTGGAGGAGTCAGGACTGGAAGAGAAAGGGAGTGATTCCTGGGGCGGGGGGGGGTGTTTTTGTGGGGGTTTTGTTGCTTTTTTTTAACCAGGCCTGATTGCTACAAGCATGGTCCTGTGTGTCTGACAGTACTGCATTATTAATATGAGTGAATTCTTTCAGCCTCCTGCTAGCCTCTCTGGAGTTTATTCAAAGCATTGCTGTTGCTGTGATTATCTAATGCAGTGTCTAATGCCAGAGAGTCTGAGTGAGTGTGGATTGGCATGAACATGGTGAGAGCACTGCATGCATATTCAATGAAGATGTCCCAAACATCTTTGCTATTGCAAAGTGGATGAAGACAATACATGTCAGAGTGGGTGTGAATCTCAATATCCATGCTAGAGTGGAAGGAAACTGCCTGCTTCATATGGGCAGAAGTACGGTTGATAAGCGTGTGCGCATCTATACGTTCTTTTCTTCATCCTTTCTTCCCCCCTTGTATGTATCTGCAGGCATAGATGCCTTCAGGAGGGGCTGACAGAAGTGGTATAAGAATGTATTGACTATGCATACAGACAAGCTTTGAATGGTAGAGGGAGAGGCTCATTTCATAATCAACACTGCAGAATCCCAGATAGGTGGTTAATGAGCATTTAATGCAGTCTGCCTTTTATGCATAACTGCACGCAAATGTAGTTTCAGCAAGGTCACTTGGAGCAACTTTGGTGAGGGAATATGCCTTTCTATGATGGGCATCCCAGCGTGTCTATATGAAAAATCAGTTCTCCCAGTATGCTCTATTCCTGGTCTGGAATAGAGCTGGTAGAATAGCTTCTACCTTAGCTGATGCCCTGCTTGATTTAACGTGAAATCTCCTTTCAGTACTTTCCCTGAATTCTTGTGGTTTATCTCCTTAGTCCTGTTTGAGGTTGGTCTTTTTTTTTTTTTTCTTCCTGGGCTGCTACAGCAACATATGGTGACAATAAGACAGATGGTTGCAGGATTAACCCTACTTGGTGATTTTGTTCTTTCCCTTTGTAGTATTGGAGGTGATGAGACCCTGGAGACCCAGACTACTTTACCCAGTGAGTATCCTGGAAAATCAATTGAGAAAAGCAAAAGGCGAGTATTACTCTGAAAGTAGTCTAAGTGGATGCTAGGAAACATCTGGAAATGGTCATGCTTTCCTTGCAAACAGTGGGGGATGCCCATCTATTGTGGATGTGAGCAGTTCATGTGAGTCACAGCTGAAATCCAGACTGACCTGACTAGCTGTAAAGTAGATTCAGGCCCTCCACATCACAGGACCTGCCTGTGGTTGTATCGTTCTTTTGACAGAAATGATTAGGAGTAAATGTGCTGAAGGTGACAGAAGTTCATGGCAGACCTGCTCCTCCTGTATTTCATTTTGTGCTTTCCAGTGACTGACTGTAATGGCTGTGGGCAAATGAAGGGTTATGAAACAATTAGCAGTCCATCTAGAGAGGGTTGTTGACAAGATTATGGTTCCTCCTGATGATTTCAAGTTGCTACGCTGCACTGAAAAAAATTCTAAAATTACTATAAATTTCTTGTCATAGTGTTCTGTGTAATCAGTCCCTGTAGTTGTCATAGAAAGCATTAAGTGGTCAGTGTGACCATAAATTGGAGGGGACTTGGTTCATGATGGTTCATCTATTTGTATGTGATCCACGCTGTGCAGCAGTTTGACAATACCTGACATTGTTGGTAATAAAATCTGATATGCTTTGTCTTGTACCACGCACATTGCTGTGTTTAAAGAAAAATAGAAGGCACATTTCATTTATGCATTATAAATGAGACTCTATAAAGAGGTTTCAGACAGCACTACAGACACAGTAACAATAACAGTTTTCAGACATCACGCTTCCCCACTGAGGGTTTCGGTGAAATCTAGAAATGTGAATAAAATTCACTTCTCTGCAATAAATATTATTATCTTGATGGGTAGCTGGAGGAGTGGGAGGTAAAGGGCCATATTCGGAGCATCTGCTCCTGGTACATGAAGGAAAGTAACCGTGATTACTCTGGCACTCAGATTCAAAACTAGTGAGTTGCCTGGGACCTGTGCATCTCCTGGACTGCCAGACCCTGGCTCCTCAAGGCCATGGAGAGAAATAGTTGCAGTGCTGAAGTTTGGACAGTAACTAGAGTCTCCAAGGCAGATGTGTCTATAGCTTCTGTAAGGTCACAGTGAATGAGGGGAAAACCCTCACATATTCTCACCACTCGATCGGCTTGCACTTCTGTGGGAGCCAACACTGCCAGTTGTACTGTGGATGGTTAAACATTGTGTTTTTCTCTTTTTAAGATATCTTGAAAAAATTCAATCCGAACCTCTTTGGCTTCTCCACTGGCAGCTCTAAGGAAACAGCTGGATTCAACATTGCAGAGAGAGGTGCCACAGTGCGGTAAGCACAATCACAACCAAGAAAGGGCAAAGGGGTGAGAACTGATGGACTGGCAGATTATCTTTGAACCGCATGTCAAGGTTGAGTTAATACTTACGACCTTCTGATCTGAGGTTTTTAATTTTTTTTTTTTAATTATTTTTAAAAAGTCAGTATTTGGGGGATTTATTTGTGTCTTTTTCTAAATTAGGGACAGAGAGAAACTTCCTTTCTTCATTTGACCTCTGCCCAGAATTTCCGAGCCAATGCCTTAGTTATGCTGCTTATTCTAGAAGTACCTTTTTCTCCCCAGCCTTCAGTATGCAGGTCCCTGATTCACTGTCAGGCCATATCTGCAATGAGAAAAAATTCATGAGCATCTCATTTATTCCTTGATTTCTGGGAAATGTGCCTCAAACTAACAAATAGAAGCCCACTGCTACCCTCACGGCATTAAAAACTATCCATGTTTGCAGTGCAAAGAAAAAGAACTGAATGAGCAGCTGGGAATTAATTCCTTTCTCCTCCTGAAGAAAAACTTTACTAGTCTGTTAATAACCAGAATGTGTAAGAGTTTGTATTGCATATGCTGTGCCTGCTCTATGGATACTCATGGAATTCACTTCCAAGACTTTCTTTAACAGTCATTAAATTTACTGCAAGAGAGTTTCAGAATAGCTAGCAAAGCCTGTGTGACTACTAAATACTTCATGTGTGCCCTGAGCAAAGACTCAGAGTGATGAGTATGGTTGTGGGAGTGCAAATAATGTAACCGCATTTGTGTAGGTGCTGGAGAGAGGCAGGGCTTGTTAGCTGAAGCACAGTCTCATGCTAGTATATCAGGAGCTCAAGTTTCCAGCTGGTGTCTCAGCATGGTTTGTGCTTCACTTCGTGGACGTTGCATCCTGCCCAGAGCTGGACTGGGACTCTCCAGTCTGGCAGTTCCGCAGTGTAAGCAATATCTTCCAGCCATAAGACAAGGCGTAGGAATTTAAGGCCAGATCAGGAAGGCTGGTTAGGTGCCCAGCTTCTGTCTAAGCACCAAACTCCCCTACTAGATTTCAGAGGGAGTTATGCAACTAAATGTCTCTGTGCATCTGGGCATTAGTGGTTTTCTCCAAACAAAATGCACTTAAGCCAACTCTGGGATGGGAAGAATTCATCCCAGTTGCCTGCCACTTGGCAGCCATCCTAGCTGAAGCCCTTTTAGATGAAATTATTCACTTGTGCAACTGCTGCTGATCTTGGTCCTTCTATGTTTGCTCGTCCTTTTGAGGCATCACTTTCCCTGTACTGATTTCTGCTGATCCTAAGATTCCCTGAAATGAGGAATGAGAGATCAAGAAGATGATGTGCTTTCAGAACATGCATCTAAAATGCTTCTGTCCTCTCTCTACAGCAATATGTCAGCCCAAGCACGTGAATTGGTGGAGCTAATGAGAAGCAGCTCGGTAAGTGGAACTTGGGCCACCCTTCAGTGCTCCCGTGGCCTCTGGGAGATGACTTTAATTGATGGGATGCTTGAGTAGTGAAGAGTGCTTTATTGATGGAAGAAAAGTCAGTGTCCTTGTCTCTGGTGTGCTTTCCAAGATGAATGTGCCAGGGATTAGCCTTTAGGAAATGATAATTTACCTATACAAATCCATACAGGTAAGGTGCAAATACACAAGGCAGAGACTAATGTAGCGTGCTGTGCGGCCAGGAGTTGTAATGATGGTAGTGAGGAAGAGGAGAGATCTGAAGGCTCTGGGGAGATCACAGGACTGCTTAGCTGAACGGCAGCATTCAAAGTGGAGGTCATAAAGGCTGAGTGTAAAGTCGCTGGAGCGGGCACCCGGTGACCAACATGAGTCACACTATTCACTCTTGGGTCTGGGAAATGGCGATACGGGGAAGGGGGACAACTGAAGTCGTCCCAGGAGATTAGGCCCTCTGAAACTCTGGTTCTGAACAGGCAAGTGATTAATCAGTGGCCAGAATCCTCAGGGCTGGGTGAACCCCTGTCATGCCACAAGCTTTTAGGGAATTAGTAGGGGATCTAGCGTTGTGGACCAGTCTGCTGTGCCAGCTCCACTGAGGGCTACAAAGGGCACCAAAAGGGTGACCCGCTTTTAATTCAGTAGCTGCTGCTGCAGTTTGGGGTGGGGGAGGAAATCTGGGAGAAAACCAAGGCTGCCCTGCTCCAAGTGTTGGCTGAATTTGAGCGGATGACTGTCTGGGTGTGAGCTGTTGGTTCAGGGAGAGCACCCTGTAAGGGAATGGGAGTGCCTGGTGCTCCTTGGCTCAGGCTGAATGGGAAAGGAAGGTACTGAATAAGCAGGATTTGTCAAAGCATGTGTCTCTCTGTGCCAGCACTCTTGATGGATGCTGCGTGCTAGTCCCACTGTCAGTTACTCTGCATTACCGATTGTTTGGCAGAGTGATGGGAGCTGGCATGGCTCTTCAATAGAATAGTATGTGGCTCTAGAGCTTTGTTTTATTCACTGCTTTTTATGCATCTTTTAAAAAGGGGATGAGGGAAGTCCCTGCCACACTTTGCCTCTTCATGAAAGGCTTTCTGAGCAAAGTGCTGGTTAAGGAGGAGAATTCAGACCTGTGAGTGATTCCCAGGCCCTTCCTCTATTTGTGGGATCCTTTTGCAGATGTTTGTTATGTAAATGCACCACACTAAAAATAGTTGCCTTTGATTCCTTTCTTCGTACTGAACGTTACAAAATGTTTTGATGAGATCCAGCTCTCAGCAGCGCCTATTGTTAGCTTGCAGTGACGTGGATGCTGCAGCTGCCCTTATATGAGCTCAGTGAAGTCACCAGCCTCCTGGACTCTTCTATTTTAATCCAGCTGTCTGTTCCCTGGGGTGCCCCTCGCCCCTCCTGGCTATGGGGTAACACTTGCCCAGCTGGCAGGGATCCCCAGCAGCTCCAGTTCCACAGCTCCATGAGTCACTCCAGCATCCACTCCCACATCTCTTTGTCCCCACACTGCCTGCAGTGTTCAGCCATGGCTGGCAAATCTCTCCTGTCCATCCCTGTCCTGAAGCTAACATTCATTTAGGCACACTTGCTGCCACAGACTCATTTCTGTGCTCGCCTACCCTGACAGATCTGGTCTGCTGAAGGGGATTTCCTTACGAAAGCCAAGGTGAATTGCAGCTAGACTAGCAAACAGTTCACATTTTTCCCCTGGACAGATGCTTTTCTTCTGCCGTCTTAACTCAGCATGCCTCCTTTCTCTGTTCTGCCATGTCGTCTGTACCCTGTTTAGCCCCATTTGTGAATGTTACCTCTGCATGCCTAAGCAATGGATGCTGCAATCTGTTTATTTTATGTGCCACTAGAAAATTAATTTCAAGGAAGATTGGAAGCTGATCACTGTCCTCGTTGGAGGCAATGACCTATGCCAGTACTGCTTGGACAAGGTTTGTATCTCTGAATTAGGCATGCTCATCCAGGCACTTGGCAAGTGACCAGCCCTGGAAATTTAACCTTTCTCCCTCTGTGAGCCAAAGCTCCTCTTTGTTTAAAAAGCACTTAGAAGTCCTGTTCCTTTCATCTGTATTGTACCAGAAACAAGTGCACAGCTTTTAATATTGGGGCACTGTAGCTCTGGAGTAATGCATTATTTAAGAACCAGCAACCTGCCCCATATTGAACAAAACACTAAGGATAAACTGAAGAGCTCTCCCAGCTTAACTGGACAAAGCAATCAAGACAGCGTGGCGTCTTAGGCATGTTATGGGGACACAAGTGAAGTTTTATTCTGGAAAGCATCTCCACGCAGTAATTACTGAGGATGCCTGATTCTTGCTTCAGAATGACACCAAAAGAAATAACATCACTTTATAGTGAAAAAGATGTCTTTTATTTAGCTATCAGTGGTCATCCCCTCTGAAAAGGTTCCTGTGGCACAGACTGGGGGTCTGGACCCCAGCTCATTGAAATGACTGGGGACTGTTCTCTCAGGTTTGCTGCTGCCTGGAGCCTTTGCCCCCACAGCTACACCTCTATAACTACAGTCACAAAGTCTTTTTTCCCATGGGTTTTGTGGGGCCTGACTGCCTCCGTATCAATTTCCCCAGATTGGCAGGTTTAAAAAAAAAAAAAAAAGTATCACTGTTCATAAGGCAAACTAGTCTGGTCTGGGTCCCATAAAAGACAATGAAATCCACAGTTTAAAAAAAAAAAAAAAAGTATCACTGTTCATAAGGCAAACTAGTCTGGTCTGGGTCCCATAAAAGACAACATGAAATCCAAAGATGTGATTTATGTAGTCATTCATCAGGCAAAGACTCTGCCAAGAACTATTATATACCTCAGGATTTTCTACAGAGATTAAGGGAATATATTAGTGACATAGAAAGACAAGCACTATATAACCTGTGTGCGTGTGGCAATAAACCTCTTGATCTGAAAATATATCTGCCAACAAAGGCAAAAAGGAGCATCAAGTCGGTGTATCTTCTCACGGACTGCCTTGCAACTAGAGTCTGGGGACTCCTTTGCTCAGGCAAAACAGTTAAACTTCTCGGTTCCTGAAAAAAGACTGATACGATTTTTTTTTTTTTTTTTTTTTTAATTACACAGGAAACCTATTCAGTGCAAAAGTATGTAAAGCACCTTCAGGACACTCTGGATATTTTCTATGAGGAGGTAAGCTTTTAAGATACCCTAGCAAGCTATGTTCCTGGCAAGCACACTGATGTTTTTCTCACCTCTGATAGACTGTCAGTGATTATGTTTCATACAAGGTCATCTTCCAAATAGCTGGAATCAGACTGCTCCTCAGCGCTGCATTTCAGCAACTGTATTGGATAATGCCCTGAGAAAGTGGGCTGTGGTTCCAGGAAAACTGTGTGTTTCACAGTATTTTTGCTGTGGACCAAATATAGCACGACCCTACTGCCAGTTTTGATGGCTAAACCAACTGTACAAAGTTTCATTTCCCCCAGAGAAAATGGAGATGTCCCAGGGAGTGAAGCAGCATTTCAGCTAGCTTGTACTAGCTGTCGGGAATTTTTTGGCTGACATCCACTGTATGTCTCCCTCCCCCTCCCTTTATACATAATCCTCGCACATGCCATTGGTTGCAGTCGGTGCAGTTTGCACTGACTCCCTGACCCTGCGGATGGCACTTCTTTCTCACTTTGTAGTGGTATCATGTTCCGTGACTTGGTATGTCTGGTGGTTATAATCCCTGCAGCTCCCAAGAGTCTTTGTCAACATGGTGGAGATACTAGAGATTTCTGGACTGCGTCAGATCGCAGCAAGCTCTTCGGGGTGCGCTTTGACAGCAAAGTAAGTAAGCAAAACAGGTCTTTGCCTTTAAAGTGCTACTTTTTTGGATCAATCTAAACTGCTTCTACAGAAGGACATCCACACTGAGCTTTCCAAGCTACTTTCATTGCTGCCTTTACTTGATGCACTAGTTCCCATCAACTTTCTACTACTTCTTCCAATACTTCAGCGAAAAGGCATGCACCTGTAGATAGCAGAGTCAGTGCTTTTCTTCTCAGCTGTAAGGCAGTGTGTCACAGTACAAGTCACCATATAACTGCTGTACTACCGAACTTCAAAACCTTTTTTGCCCAGCCACTCACTGCTCAGCAGTACAGGCTGACATCCTTGACGCCTCTCCTTGTATTCAGTGCTGCATTACCTATGGTGCAGGCTGGGCTGCATACAGCAGAGTGCACAGCCAGGAACTGCTTTTCACACCTAATGGAGGAGACCAAAGTCCTAACTCAAAGAAGATTGAGGGACTTGTTTTAGAAAGCAGCAGCTGTGCCTTTACAGGAGTCAGCGTGGACATGAAAAGGCTCTTTAGTCTAGTGGAGAAAGGTATAACAAAGACCAGTGGTTGGAAGCTGATGCCTAATGAATTCAAATGAAGTTAGGCACAGATTTTTAATAATAGAAGCTATTAACTACTGGAACACACTAGAAGGGAAAATAGTGAATTGACTGTATTGCTTGATGTCTTCATATTCATTCCAGGCACATTCTTAGAGGACACATTTCAGTGAAGCACAAGTTATTACCTCTTGATATGGGGGTAACAGAGTGAAACACAGTGGTCTGAGGAGTCAGACTACATGAACAATTTGTCTTTTCTATCTTTAAACCCCCAGATTTCTGAAACTCTGCTGTAAGTCTGTATGCAGGGGGTTTTTTATCTAACACGTGATTTCCTGCTAATGTGTGGCATATTAAACACTTCTGTGTCAGACTCAGATTTGTGGATCCTGCAGCTCTTACTGGCTGTGACAGGTGTTCACTTGAAAACTAAGTCAATAGGGATTTTTTTTCTGAAGTATTTGTCCATCTCTAAGCCAACGAGGTGGCTCTCCTTCTGCATGTGAGCTTTGAGCACCTATCCTGAGCTTCTTGAAGCAGGTACACATTGCTGAAGAATTGCATAGGCTATTCCAAGTTGGCTTTTAATTCTAGTATTTTTTTTGTTGAAGGAATGTTTGCCCGTGTTTTTTAAACCCTGAGGAAAACTCTTCTGAACTACAAGAAATTAAGAGAGTTAACAGAGATTTTCAGGTAATACCTTGATTCTGTAACTGGTCATCTTCACTTGTGTCTCTTTATATTGCTTCCCTTCCTCTCATGCATATCCTCAGCAGGACAGAGAGGGATGACTGGGAAACAGCTTGGCTACAGTCTAACTAAACCCCTACCCAGCTAACTGGTTAGCAGCAGTGCAAGTCTTTCCTCACTGCCTTATAATTTGACCTCAGTTCTGAGCTGGAGGCAGATTGAGGCCGATTCTGTTTCCAGGTGCTGTTTTGACAGCTGAAAAGGAGTTACTGGTGATGGCTGTTTTGTTGATATGTGTTTGTCCATTATGAATCCAATGAATAGCTCACATGAATTAACATGTCACTGCAAGGGTGACAGATTACCTTGCATCAGCTGTTTTGTGGTAACTCTTAGCAGGGAAAATGAACTAAACCAACCTGATATTCCTTTCTTTTGCTAAGGGCTGAGAGTGTGCACACAGATAGCTTACCGTGGGTCAGCTTGCTATCTAAGAGTAACTTTTCATAGCCTTGGGCATAAAATTGACTCAAATTTAACAAAGGCTATAAATAGCTATTGGAGCTATTGGAGAAGGTTTTTCCATCATTATTCCTATGAATACAGGAATCGCTGTATCAGTTCACGTTGTGTTCTCCAGTCCTCCATTCTGGCTCTGGCAGTGGATGTTGTCTGATGAATCTGACAATGCTCAAAAAATCCATCTTGGAAAACACTTGTATAAACCTATCCAGGGGGTATTTTCCTTAACCAAGGAAGTGGGGTTAGGAATGTTTTGAGATACGACCAGGAGCATTAGAATTTATACCCATAAGCTGGCAAGTAACAATGAGATGTTTTTATTATCTGTATGAATGTCTATTGCCATAGTTTTCAAAAGTGGCAGGTGATTTTTCAATGCTTAAGTTGTATTTTACTTCAAGCACACCTTTCTGAAAAATCAAGCACACTTCAGTCTCAAGTTGGCCTTCTGGACTCGTTTGTCACTTCTAAAAATTTTGGCCTTATGCCTTTTTTTTTTTTTTAATTCTCTGTAAATTTTAATCTCGTTGTGATTGTGCAGCACTGATTTCTATAAGTAAGGTACCAACTATTTTTTTTTTTTAATTAAGCAATTATCCTAGTTTCTGTGCATTTTCCTCATGAAAATCTCTTCATGAACCAAATTATTTTCTTAGCCGTTCTCTGGACTGCTTTAAACTATTCAGCTGCATTTATACTAATAATTTATGGCTTCCTACATTGAAAGAAGTGTAATATGCATGTTTTTGATAGCTGACAAATGTTAGATGAACCTTGTAAGTAACTTTTCTGTTTCCAACCATGCAACTCCATACAGGCTGAAGCCTTACAGCTGATCAACAGTGGTCGGTACGAGGAGCGTGAGGACTTTGCAGTTGTCATGCAGCCTTTTTTCCGAAACACCTTGTTGCCCCTGGATAGCGTGAGTCCTGTTTTTCTTCCCCATTATGCAAGGACCAGTATCTTGATTTCCCTAAGTGAGTAAGATCCATGCTGCAAGGACTGTGTTTTCTTCTCTTTGCACAGTCTAGCGGCACAGGGTGGAACCTGCGATAAGAATGACAGAGGAGAAGACAGGAAAGACTGTGCTGCCTGTGAATCAAAATGGCTTTAGGAAACATTCGTAGTGTGCACACATTAAACCTAAGCACCCTCTGGCTTCCTCTAAACTGCGTGTTGCTTCCCCTGTTGCGGGCTTTGTTGGCATTCACCACAATTTTCTTCTGATCTAGGTTATGGAAGATGTTCAGGTTTCCTTCACACGGAGACCAGCACTTGCATGCCTGGCTCATCCCAGCCTGGAAACAGGAAGCAGCCTTTGAAGCCAAACACTGATTCTCCTTCTTTTCTCCAGCCTTAGCATTATGTATGCTGTGTAGTTAGGGATACAAGTATTTAGCGTGAATCCTGATCAAAATCACCCAGTTTTGCATAATACTGACCCTTTTGTCACATCATCCCCATTTTGTTCTGGCAGCCTTCAGGTCAAAAGAATGGTCACCATACAGGTAGTGATGAGGCAAATTCTCCCTCAGACAGACATTTGCCACAGCTCGATAAGCCCACAGTTTTTAATGTTGCCTGAAATTCAGCACAAATTTCAACACCTGAAAGGTTGTAAGTCTGAGTTATGGAAGTTTAACAAGCAAGAATAAGCAGTTTTCTATCAGTTCTGTACAAGGTGGAGTGTGGGTCAATGGCAGTGTCCATGTAAGAGCTGAAACTGTTGGTTTAATGATAAGTTTAGGTTTGTTATGAAAATCGTTGTGTGAAGTTGAGCAGGCTGCATTACAGAGAAGGTCTCAAGTTGCAGTAATCAGCCCACAGTTACGAGTACCTAAGTTTATTTGCAGTGTCAAAATATGAGCATATTGCCTTTAGGAAGATACCAAAATTGTGAAGTGGGTATGCCAAGTACAGTGCACTATTAGATATAATATGTCTCATCTCAAAAGTTGAAATGTGCTGAGAAATACATTTTTGCTTTTATCACAGAACGGCAAGCCAGATCTGAGTTTCTTTGCTGCAGACTGCTTTCATTTCAGTGTAAGAGGCTACGCTGAGATGGCCATGGCTCTCTGGAATAATATGGTAAGAGGTTACAACCTTGATCCCTATGTGTTTGCGGTAGCAGTCCCTACAAAAGATCATGAGAAAGGTGTCGGAAACAAAACAGTAAGCAAGAAATAAAATTGATATCCTAACAAGAGGGGGGCTGCTCAACTCTGAGACCCTTCTCAGTCTGCATTGCTTAGGAACACAATCCAAAATGGTCGTGTTGCATAAAACAGTGTAAGTCTTTGCTTATTCAAAATAAGAAATCCTGAGAGTCTTAATGTAATGAAAAATTCCCTTCTGGTTTGGTAAATAACTTGCATTAAAGCAAAAAATCAGCCTAGTTAAACATTCAGTCCTCTAGGTTTCCTGAAAATGTCTGTTAAATGAGCTTGCCCTTCTTCAGTGAATCCTGTAGATTTATTAGGAAAACATACGTGTGATTGAATTTTTGCTGCCATTAATAGTGTGGACATGTTGTTCCACCCACTCTAGTATCTGAAGCAATTCTAGTAGAGTCACTGAAACTAATGGGGGGCTGAAATCACACCTATGATGCCTCTGCTTGCAGTCACATTCCTTCTGTCATTTTGGGGGAAATGATAGCTTTTGAATAGTGCTGGAAGAGTGTGTAAGAGACACATGCTGGACTAGATAAGTCCAAGGTCACAGTTGCTTTCGGAACCATGATGTTTCCCATGGTGGAAGGAAGACTATGGCATTTTCATGCCACAGCGACATTTCCTCCTCTAGTCTCATAAACACCAGTACCCAAACACATTGTGGTAGCAGAAATCCTGTATCCTGGTTTGTACAAGAAAGAAGCATAAATGGAGGGGAATTTCTTTTCATTTTAAGTAAAAGTTTGAACAAGATAAGAAACATACAGGATACTCCAGAATGAACTTGAGCACAAGGACTGGGAAATGCAGGGCAGAAATCTGCGCAGTTGCCCAGTATAGCATATGAGCTGTAGGTTCAGGGTTATAGAAAGCAGATGATGTACAGTGCATGCACATGCTCTGAGTAATTGATTTGTGCATGCACAGCAAATCTGCCTGTTTTCTGTCAGGCTTCCCTGTCTGGGACTCCAGATGACAGCAGTCTGGTAGGCTTCATTGTGCGGTAGCTCGAACAGGGCTGATGGTGGCCCAGAAATCCCAGGCAAATGTAGAAAACATTCAAACTGAGCATGGCTGCAGGTTTCAAGAAAAAGAGATGGTACCTGGACATATGGTAGCCTTAAATTTGGCTTCTGTTGCCACGTGGTGTTCCTATTGGCCATTACTCATTCCTGAATCACCATGAGTCCTTTTTCTATGCCACTGGAGTTTTATTCTGTCCAGACTGTCACTCATTTCCTACGCATGTAAAGATATTGACACAAAGCTTTCTACTGGGGTGGCACGGATCAGTTTCTTACTGATGCAAAGCGCAACTATTCCCTTCTGTAGAGATCTGTCTGTCTATGCCAACTGAAGATTTTACTGTTTACTATTTAAATCTAGTTCTTGTAAGACGTCCCTGCTTTTCACTCACAGTCCATGTACGGCGAGGCTGTGCAAGCTTACTGTAAGGCCGTATTGTTTCCCTGTTCCCTGAAAAGCTCAGCAGGCTGTAGGCTTATGGCCAAATGACATGGATTCTTGTCAGTACACGTAAAGGGCCAGACTGTGCCTGGCCACTGCGTGGGTATGCAGGGACGGGGATGGCTTAAGGAGCCTCTCCCTCACCATGATGTTCTTTGCCCTTTTTGCTTCATGTAAAGCAAAGCACGCTCCTGCTCTCTGAAGTCAGAGGATTCTGTAGTCTTAAGGGGCCCCCACTGGTCCCAAATCCACCTCATCGGTCCCCTGGCCCAGGAGAAGAGCACACGGACAGCGTGTTTAGCTTGTGTTCTGCCTCCATGTTTGCCACATGCTCTAGAGGAGCTGTGTGCTTCTTCCAGAAGTTGCCCTGTACACTACTCATGGACATGGGGATACCATCATCTTCAAAGCTCGGAAGCTAATGCTCCTGAGGAACAGATCTCATAGACATGAAGCAAGCACAGCTGGCTACAGAATTTTGCACCTTATCATCCTTTGTGTGGGCTCTGCACTAGACTCCTTACCAAGTGCCCTGGCACGGGGAGTATTACAATTATCTACAAATAACCAGTCATACTGCAGACAGAATGCTACAGGATATAAGCCACGCATCTTGCAAACAACCACATCAGAATTTGAGCTGTTCCCTTTAAGATGCAACAAAACTACCAAATTCAGCCTTCACAACATTAGCTGGTGGGCAGGCCAAGTGATTCAGACTCTTATGAGAGTCCAGCAGGACCCCACAACGATCAGCAAAACTTGGCATTCTGTTTTGCTTCTCATCTTCTCTCCACTTGCTAGCTTTCTTCCCTTCCCTAGTCATATTTTGCCATGGTTCATCTCTCTCTTTTCATTTTTCAGTCTTTACTTCCTTTTTTCTTTTTTTTTTCTTTTTTTTTTTTTTTACTGAACTAGCGAAAGAAAGTATTCCCAGTGTTTCCATATGGAAATCTTATGAATAGAATTTGTTTTCTCTGTGTTGTGTTGGGCTTGTTGTGGTATTGTTTCTCTCCACCATACAGCTGACACTTTAATCACTTGAGGACAGTAAATGCATGTATAGACAATAGCAGAAGCACCAGCACTCCTCTGCGCTGTATTCCCAGAAGTGCTGGATGACAACGCTGCGGTTCTCTACGGGCCAATCCTGAAGTCATTACTTCAGGCATGTCCATACACAGTTGTAAACACTTCAGTTAACATGACTGAGCAAGCCTCTACTTGTTAGCTTAACTATGGTAACCAATGGTACGTGCACTCCTAGCCAACCACAAATGCTATGCTATTAGCCTGGACATATTTTGAGTTTGAAATGGACTCGGGGTGAGCTTATGGTTAGCTATTGCAACTTAGCTGACAACTGATAGTATAAAAAGCTCTATTTAACTCACTTCTTGCAATCTTGTGAACTTAGCCTCAGCTAAAACTCCCAGGGAATTTCTTGTCTGAGTGAAGACTGCAAAGGTTGGCACCGTCTCGTCCTGTCTCTGTAACTCTACGTCATTTCTGAAGTCAATTCCATCACCGTGACACCTAAGCATCTTTCTTTCAGTACTGTGCTAAGTAATGTGACTAACATCTGTCATGTGTGTTTTCTTTTTTTTTTCCTTTGTGGTTTATACTGTCATTTGAGATGTGTATGTGGGAGAACTGGGTGTATAGTGAACCTCTTTGTTTTAGCAGAATATTTAAAGTATGTGATATTCAGAGTTATTTTCTCCTCCGCTCAGTGCAGAAGGAGGAAAGGCTTCTCCTGTTCCTTGCTTCTTGAGGCAGTTTTTCTGCAGACAGTACATCAGATTCTCAATGTCTTCAGTTCATGAGTGTTAAAATGTTTGGAAACTTTCCTGTGATGCACCTTCTACCACATTTCTTCATTGCTGCAAGGACCAAAAGATTGGATAAAAAGTTGTAACCACCCAAGTCAGGAGAGTCTGAGGAGGAAAAAAAATCATCATGATGTTCACTATTGCTTTTCTCTTCTTCAGCTGGAGCCAGTTGGTGAAAAGCAGACTTTCAACAACTTTACCCATGACAGATTAAAACTCAAGTGTCCAAACCCAGTAAGTAAAGGCCAAGATGTCCACACTCTCCATTAATCACTTTTTTCTCCTTTCTTTTTATTGGTAAAATTCTTTAAAAGAGTATCTTTGTGAAGGCTTTAAATAGCTAAAAGATACTCCTGTTTTGTTACACACAGGAAAACCTACTTTAATGCAAAAAAAAAAAATCCTCACTGCAGCGGAAAGCCTCTCGTTTGAGCCAGTTTTAATGAGTCTATGCATTTCCATTTGGTTGTCTGCAGAAACAAATTTGGAAATGATGCCATCACTCTCTGAGATGGCTCCTTTTTTTGATCTAGCAACTTTCAGGCAATAGGGCAGGAAAGAGTTTGAGCTAATACAGACAGAAGGCAGAAACAGCTGATAGTCTGTCTAAAGATTGACAGTTCCTCTCTGGGAAGGGGTGATGGCATATTGTCTGAATGCTGCCTGTTGAGTGGTCTGTGGTCAGTAAAACCTTTGCTCTCTCTTTGTAGGAGAAACCCTTTCTTTTCACGCTGAGAAATAGTGGATTCAGAAATTCAGATCTCAACTTGAAGAAAAACGAACCTTCAGTCCCCTACTGGGCTGTCATTGTGGCTGCAGTAGCTGGAGTCCTGGTGGGTTCTTTACTCATCTGGCTTGTGTCAGGAAGAGGAGCCAAGAGGCGCCAACATGAGACTGACACAGAAAAGAACATCAAAACGACATCTCTGTAAAGCAAGTGGAACAAACATCTATCTCTGCAGAGGCTGCTCTCTGGTGTGACGCGGAGAGCAGCAGAATAAAAGAACTTGGATATAAATGAAGCTTCTTGGTTAGCCAGGGATTTTGGGGCCCAATAATCTTGATCAGAAATGTACTGTAGAGTTAGCTTCTGCAGATCAGTCAAGTGGAGGATGAAGTTCGAAGTGTTGAACCTTTTTCATTCTGGGATGCAAATCTCCGTTTCATGAATATTACTCAGGATGTCAATTGCTTGACTGAAGTGAGAAAACTTGTTCATGCATCTTGGCACCTTAATGTGCATCTGCCCTTTTTTCTTATAAAACTGTATATAAAATGTTACAAGTCCATGATTGTGACCTGGTATTCCCCAGTAGCAAGGTAAGTGAGATAAAAAAGAAAAGCTGGAATTTCACATTTTAGATTCCAGCAGGACCATTGAGTTGAAGGTGCTAAGGTCATTCTACACAGGCAAGTACAATGCCATGGAAACACCTTTAGGCCAACTTCTGAGCAACCCGGACCATCCATGTGGCATCCCTGGTGCAGTGCTGGGCAGCACAGCTAGAATAACTGCACCCTCTCCACCGCCTTGGACTCCAGGTTCCATCCGTCTGGGACTGGACGTGGAGCTGGGCCATGCACATCACCTCTCTTCTAGGGCTAAATAGCCCAGGGGCAGTCCCGTACCCTCCTGCCCACCACTGTACCACAGCTGGTTCCAGAATGACTCTTCCTGTGAAGAAGGAATTTCTTCACTAGTATGCAGTAGGGGGTCTAAACAAAAATGAGGTACCTGACTGGCAAACTAGCCTGGCTTAACCCTTCTCAGAGGACCTGTGGTGTGTTCAGGTCTCCCAGGCTGGAGTCTCCATGTCTGTTCTCCAAGGAAGAATTTGCAGTTTTTTAAAAAATTCTGATCAGGAGTTCAGAGGAGATCTTTCCTGGAAATTAGACATTCCTTATTTTATACTTGCAGGTCAATTCATACGCTCTACTAGTACAGAAGATACTTCACAGGTTCCCTGTGATCTTGTTTTCCAAGATCTTTCTTATTCCTATGTCAAATACTTTACATTTTGATTTTATTGAAGCCAAAGTGTGGTTTGCACCGGTGTAATTTTTTGTGAGGTGTACTACATTTCCACTCCAGAAAAGCAAATGAGCAGAAAATTGAAATGTTTCAGAGAAGAAAGTGTTCTGGTGTTCCTAAATCTACTCATTATGCACACAGAAGGTATTCAGACTCCTTCTTTTTCCATTTCACTCCTGTCATTGTCCTTGCTAAGATAAAAAGAGGTGGGTAAAATAAATACAAGTTGTATAGTCAGGTTTCAGAGGCTGCAGCTCCACTCACCTCTCCTTTGATCTGCACTCAAAGGTTGGGCTATTACTAGTAGAACTTTTATTTGCCTAAATCTTATCCACAGATGTGGGAGCTCTACATGCAGCCCCAAGTGGGGGATGTATTTGGAATGCAAAACAGAAGCACCTGCATCTTGTTTCAGTGCAGCACAGGCATCTCTGTTCCTCTTCCTGTCCCCGTCTTCACTGTGGGTTGTTAACTATCTACCTGATATCCCAACTGCTATTTATTTAGCTCAGTAAATGGAAGCAAACACAGCCTCAAACCTGCAATGCAGGAGACAAGATTTACTGTATTCCAGTCCATTCCACAGCACCTTCACCTCAGACACATTGGAAAATATAAGCCTCGCAAGTGAGGAACCTGAGCAAATATCCCAGTGGATCATGAAGGCTACAATCTCCTCTCATCCCTAAATGTTGTTTTTGTGAGTCCTCTTCCCTCCTGGGAGCTTGGATAGCTACTGCTCATACAGCCCTTGGCTTGGGAAGGAATAAAAAGATATAGTTCTCTGCAGAACCTTTCATCAGTACTGGCTATTTCAAAGGAAACTCAAAACAGTAGTTCAGTGCTGATTTACCTTTCTAAATCATATGTGCGTGCATGAAGTGGGGTGGGGGTCCTAGAGCATGAGTTAGAGGTACAAAATACTGCAGTTTCTCACATCAGGTTTGTCCTGCCTAGAGATGGGTACAAGTGTGTCTTGAGTTTCATGCTGGTGCCCCCTGCTATAATAACTAGACATTCCCTTTCCTCACTTAGAAAGCTAAATTGGTTCTGAGCTTCTGAAAGCCAAAACCTAAGAGGTGCAGCCAGTTGGGAAGTGAGGGGAAAGATGGCTGAAGGATGCTAGACGGTAAATAATTCTTGTGCAGGAGCCAGGGTGACTCCACTTTGGACTGCAGATTCCCAGTTCCCTGTGGCATCCAGCTCCGTAAGGAATGCTGCCTTTATTGACACTTTTGGCAACTGAGAAGCCATCAAGCTTAAATTATATTGGCCCTGTGCTGCTGCTGCAGCAGGAGACTTTCCCCCTAGTTTCTGTAGCTGTGGTGTAGCTCCACTCCACTGCACTGCTGTGGCAGGAGCACATAGGAGCTGGAGCTGGAGCATGAACTGGCAAGCTTCTCAGTCTATGGAAGTATCTTCTGGCATCTTGGTTATGTAGACTGAAGTATGTGATGAACTGCACTGACATTTAAAAAACGGTCAAGAATGATGCAGTTTGCAGCTGCTCCACAAGCAAAATTATTTCCTTGAAGATATTACTGCTGCGCGTTCCCTCTGTGCTCATTAAGCGGAGGTAAGATTAAGCTGGAGTGAATGATAAATGATTAGGTCTGGATCTTAGTCTGGCTGCATTCAGCGTCACATTAAATCAGAAAGTAATCTGTACATCCTGTCTGTCAGTTGTCCATTCCCCCTTTTTTCTTTAATAACGTGCCCTTGGTTTCAAATGCCCTCATGGCATTTTTCCTCACTGGACCGCTGAGTAGGCCAGATCGCCTACTGATGCACAAAAGAAGAGGGGCTTAGGAGGAACTTCAAGTCTGTATGGAAAAATGCATTAAATGGATGCCTTCTTAGCCCAGGATTTTGCTCTGGCCAATGGTGGTCTCACCCACCACTGAAAACTGCCTCTTCTGTGTAAAGTGATTTCTTAACATCCTGAGAAAACAGGCTTTGGGGATTCTTCCTCTGGAGAAGAGCTACAGCTCAGGCCGCATGAGCAGTCACTCTCCAAAGGACTTTTGTGGGTACTGGCCTTGCTGCCCAGCTCTGGTTGTTGTGAAGGGCGTTGGGGATAAGTGTTATGCTGTTGCCTGGTCTTGAGAAGTAATCTGTTCTTCAAACAGGGAAGTGATGGTGCCCGACAAGTGTTGGCAAGTCATTTGTCTACAGCTTCGGCAGCAGTTGAGTTCAAGTTCTGGCCTCCTTTGCTGCTGCTGCTGGACCTCCCTCTCATCATGGTCGAGTGTCTGTGTTTTGCTTTGTAAGGTGAAATGGCACAAAAGAGTTTCATCTAGGGTCAGTTTGCCCCAAAGTCCAGTTTAGGTGCTCGGTGAACTTAGGGAAGAGAGGGAAAATTCAGAAAAACATCTGCACAGAAGAATTTTGTGTGGCTTTGGAGATTGCTAAATATTTCCTCCCACCAGCTTCAGGATGGTGAGATACAGATGTACTGATTACAAATCATGTCATTTTAACAGCTGGTCAGTATGTTACAGATTGGGACATCTGGGCAAGAATTTTGTTACTTTGAGGGGTATTTAGCTAAAATGTTGAGGTGAAACAACCCCACCCCAAAGAGAGGGGTATGGAAAAGCCCTGGATTTTTACAACTCTGCGTTTGCATGATTCGTGTTCCCTCAGGTATTTAAAGAATTTGCTACCGGAGGACCACAGGTTTGCAATGCTTGCTCTTTTTTACCCTTTTTTTAGAAGGAAGGTATCTGGGATTTTGGGAAAAGCAAAACAAAAGTCTATCCATAAAGTAGTTCACAAATTACTTAAATGAAACAAATTTTCTGCGTATCGTAGACCTCTGAGCATGACAGGGAGGGGTGCTCCCGAGATCTATCATGTTAAAACTATTTCTGTCCTGAGTTCACAGTTTGCTCATCCAGGGACCTGAGAAGTATTTCTAGCCACAGGAGTCTGTATCCAAAAAAGGGGGTGGTGGAAGAGGGGAAAGAGGCTGGCACATTTTAACTTAGCACGTGCTGAGTATCTTCCATTTAACTGTCAGCAACTGTCCTTGCTACCACTTAGCTTTTGTGTAACACCAGATGTTACACCATCTTTCACCTATTGAATTCCTTTCTGAGTTCGGTAGATTTCTCTTGGGCATTTTGAAACCCAACACTATCAGCACACACCTGACTGGGGGGCTGCAGGGGAGCTTATTAATTTCAGCTGCTTTTGATGAACCTCCTAGCACAAAGCAAAAATTGTTCTGTTTCGATCATCAGAGAGAACGGTCGCTCAAGGGAAAAGACAGAGAGCCCATGGCTTGAGCAATTTTAGAAAGAAATCCAACAAAACACAGGAGACCTTATTTAAGGGGTGGTTGGAACTACTCACTGGCTAGAAGCTGGAAGAAGTTCCCTTATGTCTTTCAATTTCTGTGACCTATGTAACTGTCACTCATAACGCAGTCATAACTAGATTAAGTTATGTGGATTTTACTGAGAAAACTTCATTCACTGAACTGTGTGGGTTTTCCCTAATTGCAGGCCTTCAGCAGGATTTGTAGAAGTCAGGTATGGAAACGTGCTCATGTCCTCTGTCAGACAGAGTATGGGATCCATGAACGTGTTTCAGTGGTAGAGTGCTTGTGCTCTCCAGGCCTTCTGCTTCCTTACGAGAAGGAATAGTCCTGTTGGAGTAGTGGTGCCGCAGGGACATGGTTCAGTGAGAGGCAGTCAGGAATTTCTGCCATCGATCCATGGGCTGACCCTGGAGTAAGTTATTTCAGCTGGAGAAACCAGCTGCTTCCAAACATCTAAGAGTGCTTTCTCATCTGCGTAAAATGATTATGGCTGTGAAGAAGGAAAGTGACCTGATACCTTTAAAGTGTCTGTATCATAACCATCAAGAATTTTTTAGAACTCCTCTTAGTGTTAAAAACTAGCCATGAAGGAAAATCCTTTAGCTACCATTTGCGTTGCTTAGGTGACTGGAAGCACCACCTGAGGGCTCCAATGGCCTGAGGTTGTGATAGGAGATAATCCCCAAGTAAAACAGCGGCCAGGGCTGCTGTTCAATTTAACAACAGCAGGGGAGCTGGGCCTTGGACATTTCAGAAAAATATGTGTAACGACAGCTTCACAGTGGGTAGGTGAGGCAGAAAGTACTTTCCATGCTCTTGCACCACCTCAGTTTTGTAGTCTTGCTAAAGTGACGGGAATTGGTCAGTTCAGCAGCTCTCCACCCAAGTGCAGGGGTTTACCTGCACTTG